AACAGGAGCGGAGTAGGAGAAGGTCCTTTTGTCTAGTTCAGTCCTCACTGAGGGAATACTGCAGGTAATGATGTCCTGAGAGCGATTAGTTGGGTTGACAGGGACGATGCACACAAACGGACCAGAACACGTCGTCACTGATGCGTTGCACAAAGAGTGGAGAGCTGTAACTAACTCCAGTCCCTGGTCGAGCATTTCTGTGCATTAAAACAGTTTATCAATCAAAATCCAGTGATGCGCTGTATTTACTGTGGAGGACGTCTGTGGAAAGCTGCGGGTCTCACACACACGAGCAGGATGTCCAGGTGAAGTCATGTGTGTAACTTCCAGGTTGATGATGTACCCCCCCCCTCCAGCCAAAGGGGGGATATCGGTCACTAATGAAGACCTTCACTGCCTTAACGACGGAGAGTTCCTGAACGACGTCATCATAGACTTTTATTTAAAGTGAGTATTGGTCACGTTGGGCTGATGCATGAATTGGAATTGAGATTAAAAACACAAGACTTTGTTCTTCTAGATATTTAGTTTTGGAAAAATTGAAAAAAGAAGACGCACAAAGAATCCACGTGTTCAGCTCGTTTTTCTACAAACGTCTGAACCAGAGGGAGCGCAGGAGCGGCCCGGACACCACCAGCCTGCCGTGAGTCCCACCACAACTCATTTACACTTACGTTGACTTTTCTTACTCGACTTTCGTTTGTTCTCCAGAATCCAGAAGAGGAAGCACAACAGGGTGAAGACGTGGACTCGACACGTGGACCTGTTCCAGAAGGACTTCATCTTTGTTCCCATCAACGAGTCGTAAGTCACCTGTTTTCACCCGGTGGTTTACCAGCGTCGAAGGAAAACCAGTTCCTGCCGTGGCTGGTTGGGTCAGTCGTCTTGTTTTCAACTGTCGGGCTGACACTTTGACCTTTGACCTTTGACCTGGTCAGTTCTGTTGATTCAGTCTGAAATGACTCGTTGGCCTTAAATGTAAAGGTGTTTAATGTAGCTGAGTGCCTCGGCAGAGACTCTGGAACATCTTACCTGCAGGCAGAGATTTGAGCCATGTCTGTTTGGAGAAAGAGTTAAAATCTGACAGAACTGATGAGCTAAAGGCTAGTCCTAACGCAGTCAGGACCAAAGTGGATCCCTTCCTCTGGAAACAGCCGCAGATCATGGAAACAGGACTTCAAAGACCTCCATCGTTCTGTGGTTGTTTGCAGCAGCAGCAGTCGGCTGTAGCACTTCCTGAGCAGCCTGGGCTCAACCTCAGCAGGACTGTTGTTAGATGAAAACACTTTAAAGTAGGCCTGTCACGATAAACAATAAATCAATTGATCAATTAATCACATGATAAATGAAAATTATCAACCTCGTTATAATTTATCAGCTTTATCGTTTCTTCGTGTCTCTTTCTACTGAAGACACTGGACGACAAAAGGCTCAACTCCGGTTCTTCACTGACCCCTCTCGCTCTCTTTTCTCTTTAAAATCTGTTTTAACGTCCAAAATCACGTTTTTGGACGTTAAAAGCAGCTCAGCTGAGAAGCTATGCTACGAGCTAAGCTAACAGGCCGACCTCAGGAAAAAACCTCCGTCTTGTTGAAGCTCCAAACTTCACAGTTGAAACTCGTGACTTTGTGCAAAAAGTTGTTTTTCTCTGCAAAAAGAAGCTGAGAACTTGTTTACTGATTTTTTTAAAATTAAAAGCTTTGTGTGAGAAATGCTAAAGAGCTCAAACCACACCGAGCGTCCACCATGTCACCACGTCACATCAAGGGGCCTCCCTCCCATTTTTCTTAGAGACACCTGCTCAACTGTCCATCCTTTGGTTCAAACAGTCTTATACTGCCATCAGGTGGTCAAAAAAGGTACTACACTCCAAACAAATCATTTCTTCTAAACTTTGACAATTAATTATTGTCAAATTTCAAACAATATTATCGCTTATCGCAATAATTTCTGAGACAATTAATCGACCAGCAACATTTGTTATCGTGACAGGCCCACTTTAAAGATGTTTATTCAAAGGAACCACACACACTCGCAGCAGGTGAAGGTTTATCTCCGGCAAAGTTTTACTTGCAAGGACAGATATTGTAACGGTTCACACCATGAAGCTCGGTCCAAAGATTTTCTGGTTTTTATGTCCCCGTCAGCTTGACAAGGTTTCAGTGGGTGTCCTGGTTTCAGTGGGTGTCCTGGTTTCAGTGGGTGTCCTGGTTTCAGTGGGTGTCTTGGTTTCAGTAGGTGTCCTGGTTTCAGTAAGTGTCCTGGTTTCAGTGGGTGTCCTGGAAGCCAGCTGCAGTCTCACACGGCCCTCCTGGCCTTCACAGATCCAGTCCATGCGTAGGATCAGGCCGTTTGTTTAAGGGAAAGAAGAACACATATTCACAGGATTCAACTTGTCTGCTGGATTCTTAGAGAACTTTACTAATTGTCTTTTATGTGAATGTTCCTGTAAAGTCCCTGAGACAACTTTGTTGTGATTTGGCGCTTTAGAAATAAACTGAATTGAATTGAATGTTACATCCATAAGTCCATAACCTCTAACCAAAATTCTGCAACAACTCTTAATATTTCTACTAGATAATTTGTGTAATGCTTGATTGAGGCGATGCGATGGTTGAAATATCGAGTAAAGACGGGAGCTGAAAGTCTGTGGCTCCGCCCCTACGAGCTGACGACTAGTCAGAGCAGAGCCTCGTTAAAGCATCAAGTAGATAACTCACCATGGTGGGGCGCTCATCTCGTCCAAATTTGGACGAGATGAGCGCCCCAC